CCCCACCCCATACTATGCGCCATTTCTGGGGGGGGCGGGTGTTGGCGATAAGAAGCTGCTGTTGCTGTTATTATTATGGTAGCTGCCCTTTGTTTGTGCTTGGCCTCCGCCAAGATGCTGGCCAAGAATGGTGGCAGGGAGGCTGAGCTGTCCAGAGTGGTGGCAGGGAGGCTGGGCTGTCCAGAATGGTGGCAGGGAGGCTGCTGCGGCTGGGGAAGTGTCAGGAGACAGGAGACAGCAGAAGGCTGTGCTGGAGTTGGGGGGCTGGGATTGTGGCATTACATTCTTTTGGCATTTTTTTATTATGACTATCAACGTTTATGGCAGCCAGGATGTGGCAAGTGGGTCTCTCTCTCTCTCTCTCTCTCTCTCTCTGTGTGTGTGTGTGTGGGGTTGGGGTCTCCCCTGAGGATTTGTTTGGCTTGTGCTGTGCGGCTTTATTATTTCATCATTATAACATTTCTTTTATATTGTATATGTACATGCATATACATTGTATGTATGCATACATATGTATGTATATATTTTTTGTGTGCCCCTCCTAATCGTCAAGATGGATGTGAGAGGCAGTGGGAATCCTTTATACGCCGGGTGTTTCTCGGCCTGACTCTATGGGTGCGCTGAGAAGCAACTATTTTGTAGGTCTTGCATCAATTAAATATTTTCCAAGCCAACTTTTGCAATTTCAAAGAAAGTTTTCCTGCATCTAAGCCCGTTTTAAGGGGTATCTCATGTGCGCATGGTATTTTTTTTACACACACACACATACATGTATGTATGTAGTACATACATGTGTGGGCTTTAGTTCGTGCTGCTTCCTTCCACTTGCCACCCACTTTCGTGGGCAGCACTTTAAAGTGCCCTGAACTTGATTAATGAATGGCAACGCTCTAAAGTATGCTATGGCATGCACTCACACAAACACCCACCCACACTCGCATACTCGCACACACACATGCACACATGCACACATTCACTCGACATGTCAACGACACGAGAAAAAGAGGAAAGTCGCAAGTGAGTCTCAGTCGCAGTCGCAGTCGCAGTCCCAGTCCCAGTACCGACATGGCTTAAAAATTGTTTGCCACGCGAAGCACAAATTGAAATTGGCTCACAACTTGGCAGCTAATTTAATATTTTCCCTTTAGCGACGGAGTTGAGGAAGCCCCCCACACACATGTGCTTATAATTGTCACAGACACGAGCTGAAGCATTCAAGAACACATTTCTGGAAAATGTTTATCCGGAAAAGCAGAAACAGACTCGGCGCACGGGCACGCAAAACAAGCACAAAACAAATTTCAAGTTCCTTTCTGCAGTAACAGGATTTCCTCTCCTTTTTTTTGTTTTTTGTTTTGTGTTGCCATTCAAAAGCAGCAGCATAATCCATACAAAATCCCGGAAGTTCTGCACACACTCAACAATAACAACAACACAATAATTATGAATATAGCAAAAGAAATTACAATTTTAGACATTGAGCTGAAGCAAACTCTCAGCGAGTGCACAGAGCACATGAGCAGAATATGGCACGAAAAGTGTTGAGCTGTTGAGAGAGCTGAAATTAATTATGATTATGAGCATTAGTTGCTAGATTTCGACTTGTCTGTGATTAAATGAAACTCAAACTCAAAGCAGGGAAAACTTTGTGCTGGCTGCCCGAAAGTATGCTAGGAAAAATTGTATTTAATGCACGTGTGCATTTTCGTTGCATACTTTTTGGCCGCTCTGAAAAAGCTTTGATTAGAAATTGTAATCAAAGAAAATCTAGCGAAAAATAGCGAAAATTCGTAGTCCTAAAACAGTAAAAATAAAGCTACAAATATTTAGTTATTATTATATTTTTAAGTTGAAATTTGAGCGCTCTTTAAGACATAATTTCGGCGAACTTAAACAAACATTTTGTGGCTCGTTCTCCAAGAAAACACACAAGTACTAGTTTACCCACTCTACTATATATTACGCCATATAAACCCCCGTTCTGATGTCTTTCATCTACCCTCCAAAAGGTCTCTTTCCAATCAATAACTAAACTCAATCCTTCAACCGTCGCTGCCTGTCTGTGGGCTCACATTTAAATCGAATTTCGCCATCCATTTATTGCGACTTGATTAATATAATAATAAATAATTAAATATACGAATTTGCATATTCGAATTTGCAACGCTTTTCCACCACCCCTTCAATACCTTCAAAGTCATTTGATATCAATTTGTTGACTGCAATTCCCCACACAGGCAGGCGATGGATTTCCCACCCATTCTGCTATTGGGCGAAAACTTGTGGGGCAGAAAAGTTTTTGCATGTCCGTTTTAATAAATTGGTTTATGATTGCCTTTCGATAAACTTTGCTCAAGTGAAATGCTAATACGAGCACATCGGCCCAACTTTAAACGGTTTTCCACCAGCCGAGGGGAGAACCGGGACACCCACCCGCCCTGCCATCCTGCCCATCCTATCATCGCACACCAAGCCCAACGAGATTTTTGTATCTTGTGGAAAAGATGGCGCCGCCCGCCGTTTGGCTTCCTGGCAGCAACAATTTTTATGGCTTCCTGTGTGCAGCGCTTAAATAGATACAAGATATATATCACACACACACACACACACACACACTGCCACATTGTAGACACATATACATGCATAACATCTACACCTACACCTACACCTTGCTGGTAATTTAAATTGCGACTGATTCGAAGTCGGATTCCGATTCCGATTCCGATTCATGGCTGGCTGCACCATAATTTGCTGTAATTGAATTTAAATGATTTTCCTCTCTTTTTTTTTTTTGCAGAAGCAGTAGCAAAAACGTTGTCGTTTGTCCCTTGTGGCAAATGCAAATGCAAATCACTTTTATTTTATTATTTATAGGAGTGTGTCATATTATGGGGCGGCAGGGGAATCAATTGAAATAAGAGCTTTGATGCCATAAGAAATGATTAAGGTGTTGGCAATGGGCTATAATAATAATTTGGGATTTTCTGAGCACAATTTGGATTAATTGTGGATTCATTTCGATAGATCTAAGCACAAATTTTATGGGAAAACTCTGAAAAAGAAACGAAACTGCTGCCATTCCAAACCAAATTCCTTGCACAAATTTACCATAAATTTGGTAATTTATTTGTGAGCGCAAAACTTTCATTATTTGTATCTTTAATGGTGGCATTCTGTCGAACAGGTTATGGGTATCATTCCCCCTAATACAGTTCTGATCTGTCGCACTCCTTTCGAGCCACTGAAATACTGTAAATTACGCATACGCCGCATGGGCCGCATTAACATTCTCCCTCCCCCCCCATCCGCATTCAGAGTAACGAAACGAAACGAAATGAAAGCTGCGCCAGGCTGATGGCTTATTTTCGATTTGTGCAACAAATGAAGTGAGAAATTATTATTATTATTATTTATATTTTTATTACGGATGCCAGCCATAACCAATTGGAATGGCAGGCAGGGAGGCCACTCCCCGCTACACCAGCGCGTCGGGCGAATCACGTATTCACAAAAGCAAACAAACGCCGAAGCACGCATAAATAAACAGGCGGCAGAGGAAGGAAGCAGTGGAGCAGCAGCAGGAATTGCTGGGTAAAAGTGAGGTAAAGCCAAAGGGAAAAACCACAGCCAAAGAAACACTGAGGCAGCGGCAGGCTCGAGTAAAGTACAGGCAACATTTTTCGTTGGTCTCGCCCATCAGTCACATCATTAAAATCGAGCACTGAGTAGTCCCGTCCCGGCTGCTGCCTAATTCGAATCCTTGCCGCAGGATGTGCTGAAATGTGACGTGGGGCAGGCATAGGAGTGGGAGTATCAGCCAGCGGCAACATACACGCACAGAGAGACACACAGAGAGAGTGAGAGAGAGTGAGAGAGAAAGGACAACAATTCTCTGGAGGCATTCATCAATATGCCAAACATGTTTTGTTATCATCAAATGGAAAATGCTTCATTTTCACGTACGCCAACGCAGCAACAGGACCCACAGGAAGAGACCTGGGATCCCAGGGATCCCAGCCTGATAGACAGACAGCAGCAGCATCAGCATCAGCCACAGCCACAGCCACTGACAGTGGAATAGACAGACAGACAGACAGACAGACAAGAAAGTTGATGGCCTCAAGGCAGATGGCGGCTGCCAGAGATGACTACAAGACAGAACATGAGGAGACGAGAGCGCGTTACCGTTGAGTATTTTTACAGGTAAAACCTTTGCGACTTGCGGCTTGTGGCCTGGGCTGTAGCATCTGTCGATTGCTGCCCCGTTGCGCGGCGCTTAAACCGCCGAAAAAAAACAAAAAATAAAACTAAACGAGAAGCGACGGAACATATAAATTGATTACCAAAGACATTTCACGACAAATTCGCCATGTAACAACAATGACAGCGCACAACAGCCCCCATGGAATCCCCCCACCCCGCCCCCCCTAAGAATGCTTATCGTTGGAGCACATAGACAACAGTCGCCGGAAGCAGTATATATAGAGATGTGGCAGTGGCAGTGGCAGTGGCAGTGGCTCTGTAAGCAAAGCAAATGCCACCGTGTGGCGGGGCTGGCACAAATCAAATGCGACAACTGTTGAGCCCTTTCAGGGATTGAAGATTTGCCCAGAGATTCGATTTCTTGAGACTAAAATTATACAGAATACAGAATCCAGTCAATCAAATCACTGCAAAAATATACGGAAAACCTTTGCCAATTATTTATGCCGCACAGCCCTATTTATTAATTGGAACTATCACTGATTGCAAAAACATTTCCAGTGGAATGCTCCACAAAGTTCAGTGCCCACTAAAAGCACGGGGGCACAATCTATGGAAACAAACAACAAACTATCACAATCGTTTGCTTCAAGACGAAGATAACACAGCCACAGCCACAGACAAATCGAAGAAGAGCCACGTGCAGGCCTTCGAAAATTCAAACTTGGAAAAATATATAAATTTCCATTTTCCATTCGTTGGTAAAGTTTCCAAATTGAATAATAAATCCCACGTCCTTTGAAGTCTCAAAAATGCTGAATGGCCTTTTAATTATTCTCTGATTTGAGCCAATTAAAGGGCTTCGTGTTGGTTTGCTTTTCTCAGCTTTTTACCAGCTGTTCACGTCGTACCACTCGGAGGTGGAGCACAGGTTGCCGAACTCTCCGTTGGTGCCGGAGCTGCAGCGCTGGGCACTGCCATCGCAGCTGGAATAGATCTGGCGGCCGATCATGTTGGTGGTGGCATAGTTGCAGGCAACCAGAACCTGATTCCAGCCATCGCGATTGTACTTGGAGGCGGCGCAACCCACACGGGTGTTCCGCTCCGACATCATCACCGTGAAGTGGCCAATGGCCCTGCAAAAAGAGCGAAAGATTGTTTAGTTGGTAGGACCATTCAATGGACAATGGACAAAGGACAAAAAGGACTTACGGGCCGGAGTAGCCGCTGGGGTAGCCGCCATCGATAATGCCGCGGTTGGAGTTCTGCACCTCATCGAACCACATCTGAACGCTCCTGTCGAGGATGTAGCCCATGTCGGGCAGACCGCCGGAGTAGGCCTGCCAGGCGAGATTCTGGCCGGAGTACTTGAAGTTGTCGGTGTTGTGGCAGCTGTCGTGGCGCATCTCGCACTGGCGGACATTGAGGGAGGCGAGGTAGGCCAGCTCGTCGTCCCACTCCATGGTGGCCATGCGGCAGGCGGCATCGTGATTGGCATCATAGCCGCCAGCAATGTAGTTGCGCTTGTCGTTGTGCGAGTGAACAAAGACCCACTTGTAGTCGTCGGTGATGTCGATCAGCTCCGCATCGCCGGGACACCCGCCGTCCCACCAGTTGCTGTGGCCGCACGCGATATGCGATCCCCCATTGCAGATGCTGGACGAGCAGTAGTCCGTGGCGTGGGCCAGACCCACGGCCAGTGCGAGGACAGCGAACAGAGCGAACTTCATGCTGATTTCTAGTACGAAAAGGTACTATGATGTCGGCTGTCGGAGCCCAGTGTTTTTATATGGAACTACGGCGGTATCGACTTATCGCCAAAGTGCAGTTGCAGCCCAGCCATAAATCATTGCCACCGTTTAGTGGAGCTTTTCATGCGCACATTCCCCTAATCTAATCAATCGATTTACGATTGCCAATTCACAATTCTTTTTGGCAAAAGAGAGTGAGAGTGAGAGCGAGATCGAGAGAGAGAGAGGGAGAGAGAGCATCGCCTCACCAGACGCAGACGCAGACGCAGCCACAGACCGAATCGGGGACCTACCCCCTTATCGTGGCAGATTGAGGATCAATTTATGGTATACTTCCTCTGTGCAGAGTTCTTGGAGGAAGAGCTCTGCCATAACAATTGCCAAATTTACAAGTTATTATTATGCCCTGCCTAATCAAACTGTAGATTATATTTTAATATGAATCGAAACACGTGCATAAACGTACATATATTCCGGAGATGCGTATATAACGCAGATAAGTGGCTCTGCTCTCTGGACAAAGGTTTATTATGTATTTTAAGTTTTTATTTATGAATTTTATTTAAGATTCGCTCGTTTTATGCAATGGTCTCGCTGTGCTTTGACTTTAACTTATGAAATCGCTAATTGGGTGCTAATATTTTTGCTCTTAAAATGCGTTTAGCTTGAGAGAGAATTATGCACCGAATGTTTGGCTCATGATGCAATTATATAAGGGTGTCCATTGCATCTCTTTCGGGTCTTATTCGTACTCGCACACACACATGCAATCACAGCAAAGTTTCTGCAAATAAGCCCCGAAAAGAGAGAGAGCGGTGCGGGACGGGACCGACCCACCTTGCATAATTTCATCATGCTTTGGTTGGATTGGTTTGATTAACGGCCGCTGCTAATCTCGCTCTGTTAGCCTTGTTCGCCTAGCAGACGCTTACTCTCTGTTACTTTACAGACTGTGTTCTACAGACTCTGGTACTCTACAGACTCTGTTACTCTACTGACTCTGGTACTCTACAGACTCTGTTACTCTCTGTAGCTTCCGCCCAAATCCCAAATGAAGATTTAAAATTTCAAGAATTCCTACCTCAAGCAATGCGAAGAGAGATTATCTCCCCCCCCCTCTTCATTTAATCTACAGCTAGAGCTGGAGCGAGAGAGCAATAGTTTCGGCTATGTGCATTGCGGTTCCTTCCTTTAGCAGCAGCCAGCTGATCAGCAGATCAGATAAGCCTCGAAAGCAGAAAGCAGAAATCAATGTAAATTGCAGCAATAAAATTCGTCACTTTTTGCACTCTCTCCGTCCGTCCGTGCAGCTCTTGGGCTTTCGCTTCCACTCTTCGGTGTGTGAGTGTGGGGGAGGGGGGCAAATGATTTTCAAGTAGAGAGAGAGAGAGAGAACAAGAGTGCAGCATTCCCTTTGCCTTCTGCCTGCGAAATCTTTATAAGCCGGAGAGAGCCGCAGAAACCTTTGGGAGTGTGTGTATGTGTGTGCGCTGCTGGGCGCTCAATTTGTGTCCATGTCCATGTGTTCCTCCACATAAAGATCTCTCCACTCTCCAAAGCAGAATACTGTCTCCACAATATGCTCTCGTCTCCAGTCGCTCTTTCGCATTTAATTTCTACAATTTTATTGTTCCGAAAGAAAATATGTGAATTTCAACGGGGAATTTGCAGGGTTTCACTTGTTTTATTGCCTGGTGAGACTCAGCAGCGTCTCCTGGGGCTGGAAGAACTCGTAGGTGAGCTCCCCCAGCCGATCGTAGAGGGAGCGGAGGTGGATCAGGCTCGAGATGGCCCTTAGGCAGAAGGAGAGCGGCGGGGGCACGGGCGTCAGCTGGAAGATGTCCTCCAGGTGGTGGATGTTGGGCAGCGTGTGGGGGAAGCGGTCGACGAGCTCGCGGAACAGGAGGCAGGGTATCGGGACGTGTGCTATGAAGTCGCGACGGTCCTGCAGGACATAGCAGTGCACGGAGTAGCGGCACTGCTTGGGCTGGTGCCGCAGGTACATGTGGAACTGCAGGACGTTGGCGAACCGGAAGAACACGCGCACATCCTCCGGCCGCGGTGTGGCTCGACCCTTGATCCGATCCACCAGATCCCCAAACGCGCAGAACGCCATCCTCGCGTTCACCCCCAGCAGCTTCTCCTCCAGCTGGCGGCGAGCGGCCATCGAGAAATCGGGCGGAATGGGCAGGGGGCCCATTAAGCCGACCAGAGTCAGCGAGGATTTACTGGTCAGGTCGGCATCATCGATGATCGGACGCAGCATCGACTGTGCAGGCACTGGGATGCGCCCCACCGACTCCTGCATGGACCGCACCCCCACCAGGGACACTATCTCGTACTGTTCCTCCCGCAGTTGCCTGGCTCTCTCCTCCTCCTCCTCGAGTAGCCTTTGATGACGGATCTTATCTTCCCTGTCGAGCTTCTGGCGGATTTTGCGACGAATCTCCAGCATGGTGGCATTCAGCAGGGAGCTGTTCCTGTCCCCCGCTTGACTACTCGCTCGCTTGGCCGCGCTCCGCACACCTTTCAATCCCGAGAGATCGCACTGCCCTGCCCTGATATTCTGCTCTTCGCTCGCTGTGGCAGCTGTGGTGCTGGGTAGGGTGTGGGGGCAGCGCGACTCTCTCCGCCGCTGGAAGCATCCTGGGGAGCTCTCGCGGCTGCGCGTGGGGCCCTCCAGACTGTTCAGATTGTCTTTGTTTTTTCGTGAAACCATTCCTTAAATTTAAATCCTCAAAAATCGACTAAAATTTTTACAATTTCTGAGTTTTAATACTTTAAAATGAAATAATTTTCGAGTCCTGAATGATAATAAATTTGTTGGAGATTCCGTGTTTCGGGGGTTCGTACTCAGACCAGGGTTCCTTCCATTCCGCTCGTCAAAATATCGAAGAATCGATGCAGAAATATTTGGAAATGTATTATTTATCGATCTACTGAGTTTTGTTTACTATTTTAATCGGAATATTCCCATACTCAGCCTTGCTGGAATAGTTTAATGTTTCCCACTATTTTTTTTCTTATCTGTTACTGTTTACTGTTAAATATCCACCGTAGAGGTTCCCAGAATTTCCCACAAATTGCCCATTCAAATTCGATTGAATCAAACAGCGGAGATTATTAGGTACCATTAATTGAAAATATATCTGTGAAATCAGCAATTAAATCTAAACATTCGCTTATTAATTTCAAATTTAATACATAGAAATGGACAGAAGAACAGGAAGAGTCCACGTTCTACAGTTTTAATCTTATCTGCACGCAGCACCTGCACTATGGGTAATATGAGCCCTTTTTCTGGGCAAAAACATTAAATCTTTTATATTGCATTAAATTCGAAATTTAACAGAGCGCACCACTGTTAAACTGTTAGCTGTTTAACAGCTGTTCGCTAGAGTGCTGTTAACAAGTAAATTTTGTTCTTGCCACTCTTTGAAGGGCTATAAAACATTAAACTAAACATTTCAATAGAAATTTGTAGAGTTCTGTGAAATCAGAGTGATTTTTAATAGGTATTTTTTTTTACTTTGAACAGTAGAAATTGCTGGGCTTTAGCGGGTATCAATTTGAAAAGACCTACAAAATGAGTTCAACCAGTTCCAAGCAGAAGAGTTTATAGAGTTTTCTTTCTTTCTTTCTTTCTCTCTTTCTTTCTTTGAAATTTAATAGTTGCTCGGAGGTTGATTTTTTTTAGCCCTTTTAAGCGGTGGTTTGCCTTATAAGAAGTAATACTTAGTACTTAGTAGTCCCATCGCAGTGCATCTAATCTGAGAGCAAGCTGATTTATTCTTCAGTGTATCTTCAATCCATGGCATTTAATTTACAATTACATAATGAGCGGATAGCTGATAGATAAGATCCATTCTCAATGATAAGTATTTATTTATTTATTTATTTAATGGCTTACCATAAGGGCTTTAACCGTATAGTAAGTGCTGATAAACTAGCAATGGCTGCTTTGGCCTTCAGCTAGATTAATGATAAGTACTCCACTCCACTTGCAGCTTTTTCCTACTCATATCTTTCTGTGTACATATTTTACATATATCTATGTATATATATTTTTTTTGGGTTCAAATACCCCAGTGACACACCTTTCCGTGTTATTTCTTCTGAACAATTATTATTTAACCATTAACCAAAAAAAATAACAAGATAATATTATGTATTCGGAGAGTATTCTCCCTAATCCAACTGCCAGATAAGAAGATAAATTCCAGCATCAGAGAGAGAGAGAGAGAAGAGGGAGAGAGCCAAGTTCCAAGAATTATTCAAAGATTATTCGAATTTATTTGTTTGCTAATTGTTTTTGGTATGCGCATTTCTTTCAGTAGAAAAGATTATTCACATCGTAGACCTCATTGGCGCTGCACAGATACTTGTATTGGGGATTGGTGCCGGTGGTGCATTTGGTGGCCGGTGCCTTGGGGCACGAGCTGTACATCTTGATGCCCAGCACATTGGTGGCCGCATAGTTGCAGGCCATAAGGAAGGCCTTGTACGGCTGTCCCGCCACCGAGTAGGTGGACACGGCACAGCCCACATCCGTATTGCGATCGGCCACCAGGACGGTGAAGTGACCAATCGCCGGTCCCTGGTAGTTCGTCGGATAGGCATCGATGTACGACTGCTTGGTGTACACAGCCTCGCTGTACCACATGTCGACGCCCCATTCCACATAGTGCTTGATGTCCAGCGGCTCGTACCAGCCCATCCAGGCGAGATTCTGGCCGGACCAGTCGAAGGCATCGGTATTGTGGCAGCCATCGTGCTTCATCTGGCAGCTCTTGACGTTAAGGGCGGCCAGATTGGCCAGTTCGTCGTTCCACTTGATGGTGGCCATGCGACAGGCGGCGCTCAGGTTGGCATTCAAGCCCCCAGCAATGTCATTGCGGTACGTATTCGTTCGGGCCACAATGGCCGCCTTCTGGTCATCGGTGAGGGTCAGCAGGGTGGCGTCCGTGGGACAGCTAGAGTCCCAGTCCCCCTTATTGTCGCAGCCCAGATTCTTTGTGCCGCCGCAGCTCTTCTGGCAGTAGTCGGTGGCAGTGGCAATGCCCAGGGCCAGGGCCAAGCACACGATGATCAGCAGGCAGTTGCGCATTTCTATTCCCACACTTGAGTGCTGAAGATTCGGAGCGGGTGCCGTGCTTTTATGGAGAAACTTTATTCAGTGCCCAGAAGTTCTTATCAACATTTGAGTAAATATTTATCAACATTGCCAGTACTTGTGCCATTACCAGTACGCGTATACGTATCATTTGTCAGCACCGCCCGCCATTCTACGTCACGGTTATAACAAAGCCAAAAATAAACCCCCCTCCAGAGAGTTCTACGGGCATATCCGAGAGATAGATTCCCATGCGCAGACCGCACTTCAGTTCTGCAGCTCTGAATGGGAACGGGCATGGAAATTATGTGGAAAACTCCTTCAATAATTCCATGGAAGCAAGGAGTTATCGTTCACAATGCTGCCTTTCCTGGAAAATGATTGCCCTCATCTTTAAGATAATATAATATATGTAGATAGCACCCATGGGAGTACCAATCATAGATATGACAGCAACCCATACAAGCAAATACCAAGTGCAATGAAATACACAAAGCACAGCAAATAATACCAAGAAATGTGGCACTTTAAAATGGAGCCAATAGGCAGAGGATGTCACATAATTCAGAGCTGTGCAATGGAGTGCTGTAAGTGTAATTATTTGCTATAAAATATATATAAAAAAGTACAGCAAAGCGCGTGTCTGGCAACACAAAAGAAGAATCAGCACGTGCCCGGCTCAAATGTTTGTGCAACTAACAGTAGAAAAGTTTAGAATTGATGCAAGTACTACAGAGAGTACTTCCAATACTCATCCAAGTACGAGTATTACGAGCATTGCATTAAGCCTAGACTTTCTTTCGCGTATTATGTGGGAAAAAACAAAAGCAGCGACAGACAGCGATATCAATATTTGTACAGCTTTCCGGCTAATGGCAATAACTGAACGAAGTTCTAATATCTAAGAGTTCTAAGAAAACTTTCCAGACTAATTAAAAAGCAAAAGAAATATCTTCTTCTATAGTTAATATCTCATAGATATCTTATAGTCCTACAGATTATTTAATGCTCAAAACAAGAAGAAAAAAAGCAGCAGATTGCCATACGAATTTGGTACTTGCATATAGAAAATCAGGCCTTTATTTGGACATAGAAAATGCTTGATTCAAGCACAAAGTTTATTGTCTGCTGCAGGGTTATCTATATTATATATGCATAGATCACTGACTGCTAGAGAGAGCTATAGATGCATAGTTTTCAGTCAGCTAAAGAGCTCTCTCTTTCTGCTGAAGCCCTGTACATCGAGAACTCTCTTTCCTTTCTCCTGTTTATGTGCAGCCAGTCTTCAACTTTACACATCATAGACCTCTGCCACTTTGCACAGGCCTGGATAGTTGGGATTCGTGCCCTTCGTGCAGCCAGAGCCCTTGACACCGCGCTGATAGACGGGACTGCCCACCCAATTGGTGGTGGCATAGTTGCAGGCCATCAGAAAGTTATTCATGCCACTCTCCGTATAAAAGGCAGCCGCACAGCCGCAATGTGTGTTCTTCTCCTGGGCCATGGCAGTGAAGTGTCCAATTTGCCTAAACGGAGGGGATAGATAGAGTGCCTTTAGGAGAGAACCGAACCCAAGCAAAGTGGCCTCAATGAGCATCCACTTACGGTCCAGTCCAGTCGCTTGGATACTTGTTGATGACCGTCATTGAGGCGTCCTTCTGCTCGCCCCACCACATATTCACAGAGGCGGTGATCAGCTGCGGTATGGTCATGCCCGACTGGGGACCCGAGTAGCCATACATGGCCAGATTCTGGCCACTCGCCTTGAACGTCTGCGTGTTGTGGCACGCATCGTGATTCATTTTGCACTGCTTAACATTGAGGGCTGCCAGTTTGGCCAGCTCTGGATTCCATCGCATGGTGGCCATTCGTTTGGCTGGCTTGTATTTGGTCATCAGGCCGCTGGCGATTCGATTGCGCCGGACATTATGCATTTTGAGGATTTGCTTCCGTTGCGTCAGATTAAAGGTCACAGCCGATGGGGCAGGACTTGTGGGACAGGTCGACGCCCAGGCCTGCAAAATTTATTCAAAAAAAAAATCCAATCACATCTTTAGATAAATCCAACTAGGTATATGCTCCTCCACTTACACCATTATTGTTGCAGGCAATATTCGTGGAGCTGCCACACAGCGCGGGGTCACAGTAGTTCGGTGTCTGTGCCTCGGCCAGGCCCACAAGCACACAAATGATCGAAAACAGAGCCACAACCGATCGCAACATCTCCACAAAGGTGTATCAGGTGTTCATCTACCGGCGGAACTCTTCTTATATAGCGATCCACCCCCCAAAAAATATGAGAGACCATTGTTCGTGGATTGGAGCGTGTCTTCGATATTTAATTTCACTTATTGTTCAGTTAATTTCAATATTTGTCTGCAACTGTATTTGCATGGCAGTTATCTGCCAGTGTGTACAAGTGCCAATCGAAGATCCAATCCCAATCCCAATCCCTGCCCCAATCCCAATCCAGACATTTATTACAGCCAGAGCAAATCTGGAACTGACATCTGGGAGGGTCTCTTGTTTGTAATATACCCACAAAAGAGAAGGTGCATGCCCCTAAACAAAGTGACGCTTATCCATATATCTTGCTATATATTTTCCACTCTGTATTGCCCCGTCGGCCGATGGCGTCACTATTTCTATTTATTTGCACAACCCCAAACCCAACTTTGTTCTCATTCTTAGAGACAACACACATAATTAAACAGTAACAGCATTAAAAAAAAGGTAAATAAATAAAAAAAAATATTCAACAAAAATTCATTAGAAAAGAAAGCAGCGTTAATTGACAGAAGATGTTTTTAGTTTAGTGATATTTTTTACCGGCATATAATATATAATATAATATAATTTTAAGGTATATAATTTATTTTATTTTTAAACAGTTTCAAGGGTAAAAATTATATAATTCACAGAATTTATTTATTAAGAATTCGTGAATTCAATTAAGAATTTAATTTAATTTATTTAATTGCAAACATAGTATAATACATACACGAATAATACATACAACAAAATTAAACCATTTTTTTTCTTCTAGTTTTGCCAGCAGCATTATTAACCAAGGGATTCGTCAACTTTCTTTGAAATTTCAAAATGTTACACGTTGGCCTCCATCTTTAAATAAAACCCAGGTTTGATCTTTTCAAGAGACCTAAAGCATGTTTTAAGATCTCTTCAGGCATTGGCAAATATTTATATGCAGTCTTATCTTTGGCACTTAGTCGTCCCCAAGCCTTTGCTCCACGCGTAACCATCAATTGGGGGTGTACAAAATTGCAGCGAAAAAGCCAATGGTAAGCGACCAAAAAAATGTATTTTTTATTAAAATTAATTGTCGTCATTAAATCCCTCATGTAGAAGTAGTGCCGGCAGTAGAAGTCCCGATACCGAAGACATTTTAATTTTTTAGCAGTGTAAAGTGAAGAGTAAAAGTGAATGCAAATTATTCCAATGCTCACTCTAATATCAGAGTGCTCTACACAGATGAAATGTATTTAACAAAACTTGTATTTAATTTCGTGTATTTGATTTTGAATTTAAAACATTTTGGTCAAGAAAACTCTCCGCATACAACTCACGAATGATGGTGCTTTTGAATGAGGTGGTTTGTGCCCCAGGGATGTGAGGATCTGCGCTTGCAGCAAGAGCTCACTCTAGCTAAACATTTGAGGCCTTGAGGCCTTTGTTCTCGAATGTTACTTATTATTCGACTGACAAACAAACTTCCACATCTTGTCCAGAATTTTTCCATTAGCCTTAGGAATTTCAAAACAAAATACGATAACAATAAGTAGATACATTACCTTTAAGTTATGGCCTAGAATATTTTTAATGCAAAAGTTGTGAGAACTTTAATTTGGGATTCCTTATGATAATTATAGACATACGCTTGGAATCCCTCGGAATTTTTCCCTTTTTCTTATAGAGCTATTTTCACGACCACTGTTCTGCCATTTACGCCTGGAATGTTGGGGAACTTAAAGTCGGGATAATTTCTAGAACTGAAAACCTATTTGCATGGCAACTATTCACCCGGTAAAACCCTCTGAATATTCCCAATAAAATCTTTCGCTTGTTGCACATATTTTTTTTGTATAATTTATATATATATTTTTTGTTTGTTGACATATTTGATATGCTGCCATTTTTATTTATTTGTTAGTAGGGTTCATTCTGTTGCTGTTTGTTTTGTTTTGTGTTCTTCTTAAAAGTTAGGTTGTCTGTGTGTCAGCCCCATATAGTATTACATACGGTTACCATTTGCAGATCTCTCTCTTCTCTATTTTAAGTGTAGATATAGTATTTTTTTTATATATATGTAGAATAAATGTCCGTCTTCTTTTCATTTTTCTTTTGGTACACAAAAATAAATATAGTACTTGCATATCCTTCAGCTCTTCCTGCCGTATATGTATCTCTCTCTGGGAACACATATCTACATATACATAAATATATAGATATTCATTCGAGTTTTATTTTTCATTTCTGTTTATTATTTGCATAAGAAAAATTAGTATTCTGTGGGCTGTTTGCAATTGTTCTTCAAAGATCTGTGTTTCTTTTTTGTCTTCTGCTGTGGCTATTGATTTCCTTCTCTGTTAATAACAAATGTTTTGTTGGGCGCTCCTAAAGCTAGCACTCTCTATAAATTTCACACACAAAATATGGATTTATTTGCTTTAATATTTGTTGCTCTTATTTTTGTTGTTGTGGTTTTTGTTTTTCTTCGTATTTATCGTTTGCACAGTTGTACAAGATTTTATTTTATTTATTTTCAAGTAAGTATATTTTGTTCTCTTAGAGTTCTAGTAATAATTTTAATAGAATATATATATATATATCATCATATACTATATACAGATCAGATCCTAAACGATTAACGTATGTTGTTTTTTGTTTTGTAGCAAATGAAATTCTGACAATTGTGCAGAGTGGAATGGGGGGAAAACCCGACTTATAGTCGCCTCCATTTTTCAGCACTTACAAACTAAGGATCATTAAGCAATATATAGAACATATACACAACAGAGATGATGGCACAGGACCCTACGCTTTGCGATGGTTGGTAGGGACGATGAATAAAAGAAACAAAATGACAAAAAAATTCAAAAATTAAAATTTCAAACAAAGCAAAGCACTTTCTTACGTATGATTTTATGTATGCCCTGTAATCGAAGATTTAAGGGATATATCTTTATAATTATTTATGGTTTTAGTTTTGTGTGTGTGTGTGTTTTTTGTTTTGTTTTTTCTTCAACTTAATTCAATTTTCCATTCAGTTCAATGTGTGGTGTGCCGCAGTCTATAGACATTATAGCCCTCTTAATATCATTTAAAATTGTATATATATAACATTTTGCATTTCTTGCGTGTTTTTTCTCTTTTCCTTTTCTCTTCTCTTTTATGTACAACATTTACGCGTATGCATGTCATGCGTGCCAGTTTTCCTTCGGGTATAATACATACACATTAATAGTACTCGTATATTTATCATCTTTTATAAATAAAAAATGGGGGGGGTTGTGGGAGGGGTGTGTTTTTTAAGCGCACTAAATGAATGCATATCATATCATCATGGTATATATGTCAGAGTATATATATATTTCTCTTCATTTCTTTTGTTTTTTTTCAACTGAATTTCAATTTTTTTTCTCAAGTTAATTTTTGTTCTTTTTTTTGGGGGGGGGGAGCATAGTAACTGGAACTCTTTTTTTTTTTAACTGGGGCCGTATGACTATATGCAGCTTACTTGTCTAATAATAATAATTATATTATAGATATTTCCTGTATATACTAGGTATATATATATATATAATATCTAGTGTGTGTGTGTGTGCCAAAGGGTAGAGCATCGACTCCTATCGTTCTCTCTTTCTCTCTGTCATCTACCGTACATAAATATATATATCTGTATGTGTATGTGTATGTT